ACTAACCATGGCACGAGTTGGCGACATGTCTCTTGGCTTGTGGTGCGCAGGTGTAGATCCTCGGAGGTGGTGGTCGATGGCGGCGGTGAAGGTCAAGTAGAGACGTGCTGCGTCTTGCGATGGATCGGGAGCGATGAAGGGACGGACGTGAGACTTGGACCGAGGGACGAGGAGGCGGTGACCACCCTGGTGGGGCGACACTTGGGGACATCGACAAGTGCAAGTGTACATGGTGGACCGTGTTGATCGAGTTAAGACGACAGTCGAGCAAGTCGAGCGGATGCTCTGGAAGACTTGGCGGCCAGGCAGTCGAGGACGGCGGTGACACGCGTCGAGTTGCGGGCGATGCGTATGGAGTATGCTACTCGCGGGCGGTTTGGTGGGTTGAGCCTCAAAACCATCGGGTGGACGGTTTTCGGATTTGGGCCTCAAAATTCGGGTGTGGTTCCGGCAAGGAATCGGAGGCGGCATGTGGCGTCATCGCGAGGCTTGCGTCGAGGCGAAGCTAAGTCATGAAAGGCGCGTGGCCATCGGATCAGCAGTCATCTGAGTTGGACCATAATGCCCTGCGGGCTAGGTGGTTTGCTCTAATTATTTAGGGGCAATTTGGGATTGTGAAATAGCCCTGATAAATAACAGGGGGCTGCCCCCAAACAGCATTTACCTTTCTAGCTTTTCATTTTCAGAACTTCTCCCTCTCTCTCATTCTAGGGTTGCTTTAGAGGTCCTCAAATGATCCATCTCATGGTAGTGTAATATGAGTTTATGAACCTGTGATTTGTGTGGGAATGAAGGTCCTTACCTCCTCTTGTCCTCCGGGATTCAAGATTTGAGCTGTGTTCATGTGAATCGCATTTTGTGTTCTTCGCGATCTTGTTTTTCTCCCTATCCTGTTTTGCCTCGATTTGTCGATTTGAGGTTGTTTTGGATCAAACCGATTGATTTGAGATGAACTAGGACGTGAGTTGATCCTTTCCATCGAAGAAATTTGATTGAATCCTCACGAGTTCATAGATCGGGGCGATTCATGTTCTTGGGGTGAATAACCGGTGTTCGTCGTGTGATTTAAAAACCCCATCGATTGGCTAAGTTTCGGGCGATGATCTTTTAGAGATAGCTCACCTACTGCCTTGTGATCATCTGGTCCAAAATTTGTGGCACTTGGTTTTGATTTGGCCGCAATCGGATGATTTTGTGTTAGGGTGATTTTCGGGCGATCTGTTTTCTGTGCTGGTTCACGAGTCCCGGACTGTTCGGGGTGCACCCACGGACAGTCCGCCACCCCTGCGTTTGTTGCGAGCAGAAACATTTCCGGCAGTTGAGTTTCTGATTTTTGAACTGTGGGACTGTAGCAGTGATGTTTTCTTCCGCCTCTTGCGCGTTCGTGCTCCGATTCGAGTTCCGTCTTTTGCATTGGCTTTCTACCGATCCATGGAACTTATCTAGGTACTCTTGACACCAGTTGGGTCGTGATTATATCGCTTTTGCGTGTGTGCCTTTTAGGGGTCGATTTTGGGACAGTGGCTGAATATTTCGAAAGAAATTTAAGGCTCTCATTCACTCCCCTTCTGGTCGCCATTCTTTGTCCTTCACCAAAGGATGCGGTCATGTACAGTGGGGTGCTAGTCAAAGGTTGTTCCCACACATGAAACAAGGTGAGCCCCAGGGAAACTTTTCTTTGAATACAATACGAAAGGAATGAAAACAAATCAGCATCGATAAAAATAAATACATAAACAAGCTCACACTAATGGTGTGGTGGGAGTGAGAAGGCAAGGAGATAGGATTATCTTAGTCAAGCTTGTCGTTGGTGATATGGTCTTGAACGTAATTAATGCGTATGCCCCCAAGTAGGCTCGACGAGAGTGCTAAGAGACAGCCTACAGGAAGACTTAGATGGCCCACAGTTAGAGCTATACCTACTAGTGAGAAGCTTTTTATAGGAGATCTTAATGGGCATGTAGGTACTACAAGCGCAGGTTTCGAGGCAGTTCATGGAGGTTTTGGGTATGGTAGTAGGAATCAGGAGGGGGAGGAAGTTCTGGACTTCGCGGTAGCTTTTGACCTGATGATAGCCAACACTTTCTTTAGAAAGAGAGAATCTCATCTAGTGACTTTCGATGGCGGACAACATCAGTGGCAGTTTGACTTTGTCCTCGCAAGAAGAAAGGACAAGCGAGCATGCTTGGATTGCAAGGTGATACCAGGGGAGTGTGTTGTTTCTCAACATAAGCTTTTGGTGGCAGATTTTCGTTTTTAGGTGCGTGCCCGTAGGGATAAACAAGCTAAGATTGAAAGAACAAAGTGGTGGAAACTGAAAGGGGAGACGTCAGAGGTATTCAAGTAAAGGGTTATCAAAGAGGGCTCTTGGAAGGAAGAAGACGACATAAACAACATGTGGGAGAAGATGGCAACCAACATTCGGAAGGTGGCCTCAGAGGTGTGTGGAGTAACCAAAGGAAGTGGAGGCGAGGCTAAAGATACTTGGTGGTGGAACGAGGAAGTCCAAAGGGCTATTAAGGAGAAGAAAGAATGCTATAGACGTTTGTACCATGATAGGAGTGTGGACAACATAGAGAAGTACAAGATGGCAAAAAAGACTGCAAAGCGAGCTGTAAGTGTGGCAAAGGGTAGAGCGTACGAGGATCTTTACCAACATTTGAGTACGAAGGAAGGAGAGAAGGACATTTATAGGATGGCTAGGGTTCGTGAGAAAGACACGGGACTTCAACCAAGTTAAGTGCATTAAGGATGAAAGGGAGCATCTTTTGGTGAAGGAGGATGAGATCCGACATCGATGGTAAGAGTATTTTGACAAATTGCTCAATGGTGAGAATATGGGCACAACCTTTCAGTTGGATGACTCTTTTGATGACACCAATAGGCGCTTTGTGCGGAGAATCCAAGAATCTGAGGTCAGAGAGGCGTTGAAAAGGATGAAAGGAGGTAAGGCGATGGGACCGGATGGTATCCCAATCGAGGTATGGAGATGCCTCGGGGAAATAGCTATAGTATGGCTAACCAAGCTGTTCAACCATATTTTTCGATCGAACAAGGTGCCTGATGAGTGGAGGAGAAGTATATTGGTACCGATCTACAAGAATAAAGGGGATATTCAAAGTTGTACTAATTAGCGGGGAATTAAGTTGATGAGCCATACTATGAAGCTATGTGAGAGAGTTATCGAGCATCGCTCGAGAGCAATAACGCGGGTCTCTATGAACCAATTTGGTTTCATGCCCGGAAGGTCAACCATGGAAGCCATTTTCTTAATAAGACAAGTTATGGAGCGGTATAGGGAGAAGAAGAAGGACCTACACATGATTTTTATTGACTTGGAGAATGCTTATGATAAAATACCAAGGAATGTTATGTGGTGGGCTTTGGACAAACATAAAGTCCCAACGAAGTACGTCGGGCTCATTAAGGACATGTACAACAATGTTGTAACTAGAGTTCGAACAAGTGATGGAGACACGGATGACTTCCCGATTAGGATAGGACTACATCAAGGGTCAGTTTTGAGCCCTTATTTGTTTGCTTTAGTGATGGATAAGGTCACAAGGGACATACAAGGGGACATCCCTTGGTGTATGCTTTTCGCGGACAATGTAGTGCTAGTTGATGAAAGCCGGACAGGAGTGAATCAGAAACTGGAGTTATGGCGGGAGACTTTGGAGTCCAAAGGTTTTAGACTCAGCAGAACTAAAACTGAGTATATGAGATGTGACTTCGGCACTACTACTCGGGAGGAGGAAGATGTTAGTTTGGATGGTCAAGTAGTGCCTAGGAAGGATACCTTTCGATATTTAGGATCAATGCTACAGAGGGACGGGGATATTGATGAAGATGTTAGCCATAGAATCAAAGCAGGGTGGATGAAGTGGCGGCAAGCGTCTGGTGTCCTATGTGACAAAAGGGTACCATAGAAGCTAAAAGGCAAGTTTTATAGGACGGCGATTAGACCTGCTATGTTGTATGGTGCAGAATGTTGGCCTACGAAAAGACGACATGTTCAACAGCTAAGTGTCGCGGAAATGCGTATGCTGCGTTGGATTTGTGGTCATACAAGAAGGGATCAAGTTCGGAACGATGATATACGTGATAGATTAGGGGTAGCGCCAATTGAAGAAAAGCTTGTCCAACACCGGTTGAGATGGTTTGGACATGTGCAACGGAGACCCCCAGAGGCACCGGTGCGTAGTGGAATCCTAAGCCAGGATAGTAACGTGAAGAGAGGCAGAGAAAGACCGAAGTTGACTTGGGTAGAGGCAATAAAAGGAGACTTGAAAGGATGGAATATACCCAAAGACTTAGCCTTAGATAGGAGTGCTTGGAAGACAGTTATTCACGTGCTTGAACCTTGATTGCTTCTGATGGGTTTCAACTCTAGCCTACCCCAACTTGTTTGGGACTTAAAGGCTTTGTTGTTGTTGTTGAAACAAGCTCACACTAACAGCACAACCTCAATGTTCCAAGGTACATTCTTCTTTCTAGGTAAGTTGAAATCTGTTTACGTCAGTTGGTCCATTATTTAAATTTGGTGTTATCCCAGAAAGATAAAATTTAAGGCTTTGTGTTGTCACTTCGATGATGGCAAACTTCTTCGGGAATCTGAACACAGTAGCTAATATGTTTCATTAATTTAGACATAATTCACTAGGAACCATCATTAAAACTGAAAACAAAGGGAATCAGATCAAACTAGAAAGATTAGAAGAGCTAACAGAGACAGAGCACCTACAAGAACTGAAAGGTATAGCTATTTGTAATGGTTTCTAACAGTACTATATAGAGCGGTTTCACTCGGAACAGACCAAGGACACAACCAAATGTTCCAAGTTTGTTGAGTGATAATGTGTTGTTTCTAACTGGTGGACATCAAAGATGGTTATCCTGAAAAGTATCAACACACAGGGTGCTAAATGACATAATCAAATGTTTACAGCCATCTGCATTTTCTGTAGTGAAGCAGTAATTTCTATGTCTATTTAGTTTCTCTAATCCTCCTGGTCATCGTCGTCAACACTGAAACCTGATGGCCCGAAGTCTGATTCAGCATCATCATCATTCTCGGATATATCTAAGAACTCTTCTTCAACTTCATCTTCTGTGTCATCCCACAGCATTTCAAGAGCTTCTCGGTCTTCATCGCTTTCATGGTCAGACAGTAGCTGCTAGCAGTGCAAATTAATCAATGTTTTTCCTTCTAAAAGTGACAATTTCGAAAAAAATAAATTTGAACAAGCTAAGGCATAATATACCTGATCATAGAGTTGCGCATTTTGGAACTCCAACCAGTCATGTAGCTGCGGACATTTCAAGATTGTAAGCCGCTCAAGCTGTTGGGGAAGAGGCTGGTCAAAAGGGAGATGCAGTTTTCGGCACGCTATTATGTTTAGCAGCTTGAGAGATTGCAAGTTGCTAAGGCCCACTAGTTCCTGCAACTTATGGCATGCACGAACCGCAAGGAGCTCTAGCAGTGGCAGGTTCTGGCTAAGAACGACGCACTCTATGTTGTGAGAAAGAGACACCTTCAATGCTCGCAGCAATGGCAAGTCCAGGTCAGAAAACAACTCTTCGTTAAGTTTTCCCTTTAAGACCAAACTAGAAAGGTTTGGAAGATGTGGCAGCCTGACTAACTTATCGCAGTTCTTGATCACTAATTTTGACAAGGATGCAGACAATGGACGTGGAAGATACCTCAACTCAAAGCATTCCTTGATTCTGAGTTCGTGGAGGCAATAGAAGTCCCCATCATCTACTCCAGACCATTCCACCCAAGCTGGCATGTTCTCAAACTCTAGATCCTTCAATGAAGGGAAGCCTTTTGTATCACCTTGCCCACAGAATTCCTTTGAAATGTGCCGAACGCCTCTCATCCATTGCACAGAGAGCTCAAGGAGCTGAGGCAATTTGCCCAGTGTAGGAAGAAATTCAGAACTTTGCTCATACAGAGTTATTCGAGTCAGTTGGGTGAAGCTAGAAAGCCCTAACCATTCAGGATATCTGTAGCCACCATAGTTGGCTACCTCCAACTCCTTCAGATTGCTATGTGGCCGAAGGCTCTCAAAAATGCCTCCTCAAACTCAGGTGTACGTACAAGGTCACATTGAACCCCGGAATGATGTCTGCATCTACTAGGCAATGATCCATCGGCCCAATCCAGTGTTAACTTTAGCAGGTGCTGTTTACTGACCAGATTAGCAGTTTGCGCATCATCTACACTGCTTACTCTCCTTAATCCAGTAATAGACAGCTCTGGACGTATGTTGACAAGGCCATGTAGCTCCGCAATGTTGCAATGCCAGCTCCCACTTCCAATGCTGAACCTTGACAAGGACTGCAATTTCTTCAGTTGTCCAACCCCACTTGGCATGCATAACGGGGACCGTTTCTCTAATTGGAAATGGCGGAGACTGACTAATTTCTTGATTCCTTGGGGAATCTCAGTTAGGCTGTAGGTTCTTGCATCCAAGACCTTAAGATTGTGCAGATTTTCAATAGAATCAGGAATACTTGTAACTTCTGTCTTGAATAGAGAAAGGTATCTTAAAAGTTTCAAGTCTCCAATTGAATCTGGCAAGGTCTTCAGTCCAGTGTGACTGAAATCTAAAACTCGCAGTTGCTGGAAACTTTGCCATAGTGGGTCAGGAATTATCACATTGATATTAAAGGAGAACAGCTTGGAATAGCAATGTGAATTGTCTGTTGAGTTGACAACTTGAAGTACTCTGAGGCCTTCTGGAATCTTAGCAGATTGCAACATTACATTTATATCAGAAGAACTAACAACTAAAGATAGATACCGATAACCTTGGTCTACTTCATGGAAATGCTGGATGTTTATTCTTAGGAAATCTTCACCTGCAACGAACTGTAGCAGGTCATGGACAAGATCATGCACCATGAAGCAGTCCAATTCATCATCAGATTTGGTCTGCTGTATCATAGTTCTTTGCATCAGGTCATCAAAGTATAAGCTGCCAATATTTTCAAGCCGTCTGCGACCACCTTGTTTGAGGATATCCAGTGACATCCAAAGATTTATGACATTATCTTTCAAGAAAAGGTATCTTCTTGGAAGCAAGGTGAGGAAAATGAAACACCGTCTAAGGTGCTTCGGCATCCGATCATAGCTCAACCTCAGAGCTGGCAGGACATGGTCTTCATTTCCTGGTAACTCCCACTGTTCACTATTCAGTACCTCCTTCCATCTCTCCACGGTAGGCTCAAAGCGAAGAGCACTTGCAATTGCTTTTATTGCCAATGGCAACCCTCCACACTTTTCCACAATCTTCTTGCCAGTTTCTTCAAAGTCACCATGGGTATCTTGAACATTGATGGCAAAGGCCAGCTGCTTAAACAAGATCCATGATTTATCAACTGATAAGAAGCTTATATTGTAGGGAGGCATGGTTTGGAAAGCTCTCGAAACAGATTCGTTACGGGTGGTTAGTAGGATCATTCCCAGTTGAGCACTTAGCATAGGAGACAGTAAAGTGTTCCAAAGGTCCCTGTCCTCATTCCACACATCATCAAGAACAAGCAAGAATTTCATTCCCTCAACTTGCTCCATCAGTGCATCTTGGAGATCATCCATTTCCATTGCCTCACATTGTCTTCTTGAAAATGACATGAGGATCTTACTTGCCAAGTTCTTGACACTAAACTCAGGAGATACATGTACCCAGCCCTTGATGTCGAAGTATTTAGAGATCCTTCTATCATTGTACACTAGTTGAGCAAGTGTTGTCTTGCCTACTCCTCCCATACCAATAACAGGGAGGACGGAAAGCGTCCCTGCATCAGCATTGACACCTGCTGTTAACATTTTGATGACGCTTTCCTTGTCTTCTTCTCTGCCAACGATGTTTAGTTCATCTACATGTGGGTTGGTCGGCAGAGGGAACAATTCATTGTCTTCTTCCAGCATGGGTGCATCACTCTCATCCATCTGGAGGTCATTCCATGCCCTTGTTATTTCATTGAACCTCTCTAGAATCTTTTTAACCCTTGTTGCTAACTCATCAGGAACAGGAACTGGAATAGGGTCTGCTTCTGGTTCCTGTAAGTAAGTTCTAACAGTATGATTATTCATTTATATTTCATTTGCAATTAACATATTTTATGGATGGGAACAGTACAAATAAGAAAACCGTTGAATAATTCTTCTCATCTGCCTAACCATCTCAAATAGACTTGTTTTGTCTAGAACATATCTGATTCAGCTTGCATAGCATGGAAGAAAGTATATATGCCATGCACATAACTTTTTGGCACCGGAAATATCAGAAAGCATGTTACTAATCTAACTTCTGTTCTCTTGTATAGGTGATTAAATAGACCAGTGGCCCACCCTACTAATCACAAGTGTTGAGCAGATCAACCAAAGAGACATGCACACGTGAGATGGAAGGAGCAGTACCTTCTTTTCGCCCTTGCGTTTGCGACTACTTCTGTTGCTTCCATCACCTTGCCTGTCTTGATCTTCCATCCTTCGCCGCAGCAGCTCATATTTGTACTGGTCAACAGCATCCTGGGCATCAAAGACAAACTGCTGCAGCTCGCGTAGGCGCAGCCTCTCTGCTTCACCTCTGATGCTGCCCTCAGCTGATTCATCGAGTGTCCGCTGGATCATTATCATTGACCTTCGCAGCTCCCGTAGGTCCTCAAAAGCAGATTGCCCTTCATCGGGGTCGGAGGGTGATGTCCCAACTGGTGCAGAAACTAGAGAAGAAAGCTTGCTTGCAGTCCACTTGACGATTCCAGATGCAATTAGCCCAGCCATGTGCTTGCACCCGTGTGCTCAGACTCTAAGAACTTGATGACCAGATCTGTGATGGGTTTCTGTTTCCAGTTTCCTGTTTATGCTAAACAGCAGCTTCTGTGGCCATGGAGATAAGGACATTTACTTTGTGTAGTCTACAAGTTGTACGCATTCTGGCTGGCTTCTCACATGGGTGATCTCAACGAAGTTGACTTCAATGGTGAGTTTCTTGTTGTATCCTCCTAGCTTCAGCCTCATTCTTAAGGCATTAGGTTATGTCTTTCTATTTAATGATGACAAATTTGACAATTTTTTATGTTTATTTTTGAAAAAAAAACCATTCACTTTGGCCCTGTACATTGTAGTATTATAAAATGAAGACCTTGCTAGCTGCCATTTGTTTTCTTTGGGCATTCCAAAGCTGAATGTGGAATATCCTCTTTGGCCAGACTGCCGATGGACAAAAACCAAGTAATCTGTTAGCAAAACCATGGTTATGTTGATTAGTGAAAAAAAACTTAATTCAATTTGCATTAGGAAATTTCCTGAAGACTGGACTTGTTTGGAAATATTTATGTATTGCTTCATCATTCAGCAAATATTGCGCTCACTTCTTGTTCGGTTATCAGGATTGGCGCATGTTACTAAACTATGGTTGTGAAACTGTTCACATTTAGGAATTTTATTAGGGTTCGCATTCATCAGTTTACCTTACGCCACTATGCCTTTGGAAGAAGACTGGGTCAGCTTCTAATCTTTCAGCACAGCTTTTAGTTTATGGAATCGATGCACATGGAAGCTTGTACTTCTATTGACCATGCTTCCATCTGTCTAGTGGCCCAAGGCTGGTTTGCCAAACCGCACACAGCATGGCACTTCAATTTTCCGAGGTTCTATTGAATGTTGTGTCCTTTGTGTTGATATTGGATACATTTTGGTCCTTATTCGGTCCCTATGCTAATCTGGCATGTTAATCCAATTTCTTGGTCCAGTGAAAACATCACTCTACTATTGAACCCCATAGCATCGGTTCTCATGTACTCTTTTTTTTTTGTGGCTCGGATGCATGCCACTGGTCAAGACTCAAACTATGCGAAACACAATTTATAGACTGCTGAAACAGTGTTTCCCTTGAGAACTTAATGTAGCTACTTACAATCTTCATTCTTCAGGTGCTTCTAGAAAGATACATGAGTGGCAAAGTCGAAATATTTCATTCTTCACGTGCTTCTAGAAAGATACATAATCAAATCGCCCAGCTAAACCCAGCCCCCACGTTGCTCTCTTGAGCGACTTGGCCGGTGCTCCCCTCCCCTGCCGTTGGAGGCCGTCCTCCCTGGCCCCTCACCCTCGCCGCCGCCGGAGTAGGCTGCCGGAAGCCCGCGCAACCGCAAGGATGGCGGTGGCGGGGCCACTCTCTTTCTCCTCTCTCTTTCCTTGCGGGTGGCGGCCATGGCACGACGGGTCGGCGGCGGCTTGCTCTGGCGCCCCACTACCGAACTGGTGCCCCCTTCGTTGGATCTGGTGGCCCTGTGGGCGGATCTAGCGGGGCCCAATTTGGTGTTTGTCGGCAGCATGAGGGTGGTGGTGACAGGTGTGATGGGTACCTGGGCGGCCGCCTGTGTGCGACACTGGTCAGCACGGGAAACACCGTGCGTGCGCTCGATCGTCGCTCCAGTGACGTCTCCGGCCTGCTCCGCAACGTCGACCTGGACTACGGTGACATCACCAACGCTGAGTCCCTTGGCATGGGCGTCGAGCCCTGGTTGTTGCCCCTCGACACGGCAGGGTGATGGCTGGCATAACAAGTATGGGCCTTGGCCATTGCCACGGACGGGGTTGAGGCTGTGTCCATTGGACCGATGGCGGCGACGCCTTCGGGCATTGTATTCTTTCTTGAAAGCGTCCATCGATCGGCCCTCTCCCCTTTGTGTGGCGTGCTCTTCCTAGATGTAAAACCTTGACCTTTCTGGTCAGGCTACGGTGACGCCGATGGCGTCGCGTCCCTCCTTGGAGGCATCGGTTTGGAAGCCTGTGACTGTCAGCCTGTGACGGCCGCCACCGTCGTGGCGAGGAAGGTGGAGGCCTAGGTGAGGATTTAAGTTTCCGATGTCCACTGCGGCGGAAAGTGGTCGAGAGGAGGGCGTTAGCGCGACGATTGGAGGGTTTCGCATCTGTTTGGCAGTTTGGTGAGTTGCGACCACGAAGTTGGAGAGAATGCCGACGTGGGAGGTGCCCACGGAGTTGGTGAGGAGGCCGACGTGGGAGGTGGTGGCCAGCAGACTCGCGTTGCCGAGGTGACCTACATGGTGTGGCAGCTGGCGGTCCCACTCAGTAGTGGCTGTTTCAACGCAAGGAGGCTTCTGACTGAGAGTCGGAGGGCATGTGTGGCACTTTTACCTTCGATGAGACAGCTAGGTTACCGGAAGCTGCGGTGTGCGCACGTGGATCTCGGTGAGTAGGGTCGGCTGGTGTGCGCCTAAGGCAGCGCCTCTCGTGTCGGTTTAGCAGCTTGTAGCGGGAGTGGCTACTCCTTTGTGGGACAACATCTTCAGAGACGACACAAGCGGATCTTATTGCATAAGGGCTACACAGCTTGTAGCGGAACAAAACGGCTAGCCCTACTTAGCAGCAGGCTACTCGATATGGGACATCGTTGGCAATGGCGACGCTAGTGGTGACGAGGGCATTGTCTTCCGGGGGGGTGGCGGTGCAGTGTAGTGACCAGTTCATGGTGGTTTGGTGGTGGTGAAGCGTGTGTTCTTTGTTGAGTCGCGGTTCGTGTCGATGTCCTATTTTGACCGGCGAGAGTTGTTTTTTTTACTTCTTTGAGTTAGGGTTTCGGTGCGTGTTGATGTCCCAATCCAATTGACTGGTGTTTTATCTGTTTATTTTTGTCTAGTTTAAGCTCTATATGCTTTTTAATATAATCGGCAGCTCTCTTGCTCGACTCGTTTAAAAAAAAGGCACAAGCGTTTGATCTAACAATCATCGATGCATACTTAGTAAAGCGGCAATTGGTTGCTTAACTCTACCTACCACAGCTAATGAGTAATGATTGTTCTCAGCTATCTCCCTCCGTCCCATTGAAAGTCGTTTTTTACTTTTAAACTTCTTGTTTGGCCGTTCGTCTTATTCAAAAATTTTGTATAAATATTATTTATTTTATCATGACTTATTTTATCATGAGATACTTTAATAATGATTTATTTATTTTATTATTTGTATAAAAAATTAAATAAGACAAACGGATAAACTAAGAAGTCTTTTTTTTGTGAATTATAAACTAAGAAGTCTATAAGTCAAAAACGACACTTTTAATGGGGACGGGGTATATGTTACCTAGGTGCGGAGTGTTATCCCTTTTCCATTGGTTGGTCCATCGCTTGATCTTGAGGCTTTCTGGTTGTTACTGTGTCAAATTTCTTCAGAAATCCCGAAGTGGCAGTTGGCATATTTTGTTAGCCCTTAAACGGTTCCATGCGCAGAGGGCCCGATGTGCGGCACGGCCCGCATGTGGTTCCCTCTTCTTTCATAGCCCAGCGGGCCGAGCCACGGGCCATCCTGCTGACCTCTCCTCGGCCGAGCCAGGCCACGCGGGCGCACGCTAGCTGCAGAGCCTATTGGGTGTCTCCTCAAGATCTGGACTGGATAGTAGGCCCATGATTAATTTGAGCCAGGCCATCCTGCTGACCTCCTCGGTCGAGCCACAGGCCACGCGGGCTCACGCACGCTAGCTACAGAGACTAATGGCTGTCTCCTCAAGATCTGGACTGGAGAGTCGGCTCATGCTTAATTTGTAGGTGCCGTTCTCACATTCTTCATCTTCACGACCAGGTGTTGCTGCAGAGGAAAGTGTTTTTTTCTTCTAATTATAGTATAGACATAGTCATTCATACATGTACAACTCACACTATGAACACATATACACATATTTTACTCGTATGAAGACCTTTGAAAGACTGAGATTGAGCTAACACATCTCAAGATTGATGAAACCACGATAGATGACATCTCCAACCGACAGGCATGTTTGTCTTAGCCTGCAAATAGGTGGAGATCCAATCCTAAACCATAGGGTCAAAATCAAACCAAGTCAATCCAAAATAATTATCACATGCCACCCTAGACCAAACTAACTCGATGCTCATAACCCGTTTCCCAAATCGGTTAGCAACCCATAGGTTCTAGAAGCAGTAATGCCGTCGAACTCTCCCACCCCTCGCGTGCCTTCCTCCTCCTCCTCCTTTCTCTCCAATTAGTAAAGCAAGCAATAGTCCTCTTGGGCGGTGTTTAGTTGGGCAAAGTTTGCGCAGATAAACTTTGCATAGTGAAGATTTCCTACTGTAGCATTTCATTTGTATTTGTGAATTATTGTCCAAACATTGACTAATTAGGCTCAAAAGATTCGTCTCGCAAAGTTAAAGGAAAATGTGCAATTAGTTTTTGATTTCGTCTACATTTAATGTATGTACCGCAAGTTTGATATGACGGAGAATCTTTTTTTTGCATAGTGCACTTTTCAGGAGTCTGGAGGAACTAAGGACTTGATCGATTAATTGCTCCACCCAGGCGTTGGCGATGCATCGAGGCAGCAAGCCAAAGCACCACTGCATGCTGTTGTGGCGCATGGCATCATTGCGCTGGTGTCGGGGACGGTGGATAGGCTACTGACGCGACTGTCGGTGAATGTGACGGTGGATCATAGCCTGTGGCTCCTCCACCTTGTGCTGGGGCCGACGCCTCCGGTGCCGGTCCTGGAATTTGGAGGGTCTTTTGGCAAACTCGTCACGAAGGCCTTCTAGACCACATATAAAATTTTATAATATATAGGCGCTAGTTTTTTATTGAAAAGCGAAAACAAATTCAGTGATATTTTTTTAATTTAACATGTTTGATAGTTATCGAGAAACAATATAAACTAAAACGGCCTAGGAGTGGCCCATAAACTCTATTTTTCTCAAAATATAAACATCTTGTAAACATTATCATGGGCCACGAGGGCCAAATAAAATTCAGGT